ATTATATTGACCAGAAAGAAAGTATTATAATGAAATACAATTTTGTAATGAAAAGGTTTAAAAAGCAATTTTTTGTTAGGCCCTAGTTAATATTTGTTATAGAAAATAAGAAATTGTCTTTTTAAACGTTAAATCAGAAAACAAATAGATTGAGTCCATATAAACTTAAAGTATAATAGTTAGACAGACAAATAGATAGATAGATAGATAGATAAATAGATAGATAGATAGATAGATAGATAGATAGATAGATAGATAGATAGATAGATAGATAGATAGATAGATAGATAGATAGATAGATAGATAGATAGATAGATAGATAGATAGATAGATAGATAGATAGATAGATAGATAGATAGATAGATAGATAGATAGATAGATAGATAGATAGATAGATAGATAGATAGATAGATAGATAGATAGATAGATAGATAGATAGATAGATAGATAGATAGATAGATAGATAGATAGATAGATAGATAGATAGATAGATAGATAGATAGATAGATAGATAGATAGATAGATAGATAGATAGATAAGATAGATAGATAGATAGATAGATAGATAGATAGATAGATAGATAGATAGATAGATAGATAGATAGATAGATAGATAGATAGATAGATAGATAGATAGATAGATAGATAGATAGATAGATAGATAGATAGATAGATAGATAGATAGATAGATAGATAGATAGATAGATAGATAGATAGATAGATAGATAGATAGATAGATAGATAGATAGATAGATAGATAGATAGATAGATAGATAGATAGATAGATAGATAGATAGATAGATAGATAGATAGATAGATAGATAGATAGATAGATAGATAGATAGATAGATAGATAGATAGATAGATAGATAGATAGATAGATAGATAGATAGATAGATAGATAGATAGATAGATAGATAGATAGATAGATAGATAGATAGATAGATAGATAGATAGATAGATAGATAGATAGATAGATAGATAGATAGATAGATAGATAGATAGATAGATAGATAGATAGATAGATAGATAGATAGATAGATAGATAGATAGATAGATAGATAGATAGATAGATAGATAGATAGATAGATAGATAGATAGATAGATAGATAGATAGATAGATAGATAGATAGATAGATAGATAGATAGATAGATAGATAGATAGATAGATAGATAGATAGATAGATAGATAGATAGATAGATAGATAGATAGATAGATAGATAGATAGATAGATAGATAGATAGATAGATAGATAGATAGATAGATATGTTTATGTTTATTATAGATATGTTTGCTGGTTATATTTCAATTTCTCCCAATATTTGTCAATTTATTTCAAATTTCATTCGTTTCAAATTCTTCGTGTTCCTAAAAAAACCCATGGAAAACCAAATAAATTGGTTTGATTATGGCGACTACAAAATTCTAGATGTCCATGAGAAGTTACACCAACAAGTCCAGCAATATTTGCTAAAACATTTCTATAATCATAGAATATTTCAAGTATTGAAGTTACAGCAGGAAGCAGATATAGAAAAAGAGTTCCTAAAGATTGTCAAACATATTCTGGAAAATGAAAGCAGTATTTTGGTAATGGATTTAAGAAATAATGAAATCAAGGGAGTGGCTCTACTTATGTGTATGACACAAAAATGGCGCTCCTGGATGGCTTTACAGTTACTAATAGAAAATGAACGTTTTAGAGAGTTGTGTGATCTGATACGCTGGTGTTTACAGCAACAGACTATAAGACATCCTCAAAATCCGGGAGGTGATAGTTTGCACTTATTTTCCTTTCATGTTTGTGAGGAATTACAGGAGAATAAAGAATTTATGTGTGGATTTTTTAAAGCAATTTGTGAGGTTTGTCGTCATATGCATATGCCTCGAGTGACCTATCTTTGTTTGGCACAAAGTGATCGTGATTATTTGAATTTGGCGGAATTTAAGGAAATGGTTAGAATTATTTATTCCATATATACTACGTATAAAGGACGCAGACCTTTTGATCGTTTAAGGGATATCAATGAAATGTATGGAGGTTTTTATGAGAAAAAGGTAGAAATATTGATACCCTATCAGGATATGTTGGTGAGACATGTTGTTAGAGACAAGAAGGAGGTTAAGCAGGTGGCTAAGAAAACAAAGGAAGAGAATAAAGAGAAAAAAGTTGCTGATAAAAAGGATTAAAAATTAAAGGAAAAGGAACAAATCTGTTTTTATATATGAAATTAGTTCCATTTTAGTCTGATATGATAACAATAATGACAATAACTCCCTTTTTAATTAATAGTTTTTATATTTTTTTTACCTTATTTCAAGTCACATTCATTAACTCTTTAGCTGATTTGTTGAAAACCATTAAGTTATTTTAAAACAATTGCTAACAAAGGCTTTTATATACAAGTTTTATTTTGTTAAAATTTTTAAACGTTTTTTCATTCACAAACCGTCAGCAGTTAAAAGTCCAAAACATAATAATGGTTGTCAATAAAAAAAATATGTGGATTTTTTGATGATTTGTTTTAATCTCCGATATGAGATTATTAAGGCCTCTAAAAGTTGTCTAAGGTCAAGCATAACATGTCTTTTTTTAAAAACAAAATAAATTTAATAAAATTAAGAAAAAAACTTGTTCTGTGTGAAACAAATAAATAAACAAAAATAAGAGTAATAAAAAAAGAAGATCACTGAATCTAAAAGACAAATCTCTTAAATTGTTTAGAGTCCAAAATTTAATTCTAGAATTGTATTACAAAATTATCTGAAATAAAAAAAATATGGATTTAAAAATGCAGTTTTAAGAAATTAAATAAATTTAAGAAAATTGAGAAACAAAAGATCAATTCTCTTGGAAAATCACCATCACAAAGAGCATTACAGAGCTGAAGAGAGTAATATAAAAAGCAAAATTTCTCTTAAGTTAGAGAAGTTGATAAACCCATTATTTAATTATATTACAACATGTTTTCAAAAATTGAATAAAATTCTATAGAAAATGCTGTCTGAAGAAAAGATCACAGAATGTAGAATCATATAACAGTAAATTTTTTTAAATAATAAAAATTTCAAAAGTGTTTTCTTAACACTTTTGTAACGTTTTACAAACAAGATTGAAAAGTATTTTTATGTTTTTCTTAACAGTTTTTTTTATTGATTTATATGGAATTTGAAAATACATTAAGAAAAGTATAATAAAAGTTTTACTTTTGATCATTAAATGGTTAATTTATGAGCACTTTTATTCTAAAATTTCCATTTTCGATAATTTAACAGAAGACTGAGAGGTTGGAAAAGTTGCTACATTTGATGTCGGTTCTTTGATGTTGAATGAGTAGAGAGTCGAATGAATGTGAATGAAAACTATTTCTAAAAAGTTTAAAGTTTTGGTTCCGATTTGTGTTAAAGGCTTTCGATCAAATTCTCGATACTATCGAATGGAGATTTCGATAATTTTCGAATGGACTAACTTTTCTTATCTGAAGGCCAATTCTATCATTCGCTATTGATCGATCGATCATTCATTTGATGCCGGTTCTTTGGCAGCTTAATGAAATAACCGCATACCAATACTGACATTCAATATCGATCAACATTTTTATTCTTTTGAGACAGTTTATAGATGTAAAGAGAGCCGATAGAATTCGATCGATATTGAGTGTAATAAAAGATCCTTTCGATCGAAATTTTCATTACTGAGACCATGATTCGTAAGCTTGAACCTTGATAGCGGTTCTTTGGCAGCATACGACTCATTGTCTCAGTAGTAAAACTTGAAAGAGATCTCTTCTGGAGATCAATACTGACATTCAATATCGATCAAAATTTTCATTCTTTTGAGACGGTTCATGTAAAGAGAGTCGATAGAATTAAAAAGAGTTTTCGATCGATATTGAGTGTAATAAAAGATCCTTTCGATCGACATTTTCATTAATTTGATGGTTCTTTCAGAGTTCTTTGGCAGCATATGAATCATGGTCTCAGTAGTCGATCTCAAATGGTTTCTTTTCTGCAGATCAATACTGACAAATAATGACAAAATTTTCATTCTTTTGAGACGGTTCATTGATGTTAAATGTAAAGAGAGTCGATAGAATTAAATAGAGATTTCGATCGATATTGAGTGTAATAAAAGATCCTTTCGGTCGAAATTTTAATTTACATTCTCTTTAGATTTCGATCGATATCGAATGCTATAACTCATCTCTTTTCGATTTGTTGTAAATTAGGCAAGAAAATGACGATCAATTTCACAATATCACAAATGATAGTATGAAATAGAGATTTCGATCGTAATAAAAGATCTTTTCGATCGAAATTTTCATTTATATTCTACTCAAATTTCGATCGTTAGCGCTATAACTTGGTTATTTTCGATTTGTTGTAAATTACCAAAATCCTTTAACTTGAGCAAGAAAATTTCGATCAATTTTACACGATCACGACCGATAGTATGAAATAGAGTTTTCTATCGTTATCGATCGTAATAAAAGATCTTTTCGATCGAAATTTTTAATTATATTCTACTCAAATTTCGATCGTTAGCGCTATAACTTGTTTGTCTCTTTTTAATTTGTTGCAGACTATCAAAAGCCTTAAACTTACGAATCATGCTCTCAGTAGTCGATCTCGAATGAGATCCCTTCTGCGAATGAATGCAGACATTCAATATCGATCTAAAATTTAAATCATTTGAGAGGGTTTACTGATGTTAAATGTATAGAGAGCCGATAGAATTCAATAGATATTTTGATCGATATCGTATGTAATAAAAGATCATTTCGATCGAAATTTTCCTTTACATTCTCTTCAGATTTCGATCGATATCGAATGCTTTAACTCTTCTCTTTTCGATTTGTTGTAAACTAGGCAAGAAAATGTCGATCAATTTCTCACGATTGTTAGCGCTATAACTTGTCACTTTTCGATTTCTGGTAGACTATCAAAAGCCTTAAACTTAAACCAGACAATTTCGATAAATTTTACACGATCATTGCAATTCTTTTCACTTTTCATTAGACATGGAGTAAAGGTTTACCAAAAACTTATTATATTTGCTAAATTTTTTAACTCTCAGTTACAAAATTTTAACTTTAGTAATAAAATTACATTACTCCACTTTTTTTTTTCTTAACAAATTTCTGTTTTCATAAGACTGTTGCCTAGTGTCACCTTTATTTGCTAAATAAATTTTAAACAATTACTTTATTTAATTGCTTAGATTATTTAATTTTAACCTTTTTTTATTATTTCGTCCAAAACCAAAACCATTACATTATTTTGTTAACCTTTTTCTTTAAACATCTCATAAAACATGAATTTATTTATTTGTAAATTGAGTTCCGTAAAATTTTTAAAAGTTTCTCTGTAAATAAACATTCATCATTATTTTTCAGTAATAACGTTTATGGTGTGTAAGGTCGCTTGACAAAAACTGATATTAACTTAGGTTTTCAACAATATGATGACGACAATAAGCAAAAGTGCGACAAAATTTCAACAAGTGTGAACACAATTTTTTTTCTTTTTGGGGTTTCTTAAGTCATTTAAATGTGTTTGAATAATAAAATGGAAAAAATTACGATCACATAAAAATTATAATAAACCAAAAATTGCATAATTATAAAAATTTAAAAGTAAATTAGTTTTAGTATTTGACAATAAATGAGACAATGACTTAAGAAGTGTTAAGGAAACTAAAATTTGGCAAATTTTTAAGAATTTCTGAAGGATATATTTTGTGTCAAGGGGAAGGACGGACAAGTGATTCTAAGCTGAAAGCCAACTCTTTATAGCGCTGAAGTTTGCTAAAGGTTAGTAAATCTTGTTGTAAAGTTGTAGAGAGTTTTAGTCCAGTCCAATAACAAATACATGAGTATAAATAAATCATTTAATTAACATTTTAAGTCATTACTTAGTAAGACACGTCTTTTGCCGCATAATTAAACATTTGCTAAATAACATTGTGTCCGAAATAAAAATTCAAAATTTTGTAATTTTAACAGACTAATGGCTGTCTGTGCTCTATATAAAACACATTCTGGCAAAAAAAAACAAGTAAGAATTTATAGTCGGTCATGGCCGACTATATGAAACCCTACAGAATATCATCGTGATATTAGTGTTTATAAGTGAATTTTGACCATCAAGTCATTTTCTGAAGAGGACTTTACATAGGGGAGATAGGGTCAAATGAGGCCCGATCATTACGAAAATCAACAGTATCATTAAGACTTATATTGAACTAAGTTCTGATGATTTTTGAAGTGATGCAAGAACATTTAACATATTTATGAACTCAAAAGCCCCATTTGGGGGCTACGGTTGTATGGGGACTATACGAAATAATGGACCGATTCGTCCTTGAGTCAAGAGACGTGTATGTGCCAAAAACATCATCAAATTATCTTGAAAATTGCGACCTGTAGAGTGCGCACAAGGTTTACATGGAAACACAGACGGACAGACAGACGGATGGACAGACAGACGGATGGACGGACAGACATACGGATGGACGGACGGACAGACAGACTGATGGGCTGAGCCGATTGGTATACTTTAAGCTGGGTGTAGGATCAATATTTTTTTGGGTGTTACGAATATCAGCACAAACGCATAATACCCTCCCCACTATAGTGGTGTAGGGTATTATTACAAAATGTTGTTTCATCTAAATCTTTATCTTCAAATCTATTATTTATTGTCAGCACGTTTTAAATTTGTCTACAGAAAATTACATTTAATTATAACTTTTGCTTATAAATAAGTGTTATACATAGTTTTTGCCGTCAATTACTTGGAAATTATTTATTATTTATTTAATTATTTTTTTTTTTTTTGCAATCTATAAACAAACTTCCTTATTTCACAATAATCTTGATTAATACATTAAACTCTATATTTACTAATTTTTTTATATATTTATTACTTAAAGCTTCTTCATTTATATTTTTTTTTATAATTTTTCACACAAATTACTTGCTTCGACAAAAAAACAATTTCTTTGAATTGTATTTAGTTTTATTTTTCTTCTCCTTTTAAAAGCAGCAGCGCATTTTAACACGTGCTATAAAGTTAAAATGTTTGAAAATACACAAAAATTGCAATAAAGGCGACAAAGCGACAAAAATCTTAACAAAAATAAATTTAAACTTTTCCTTAAATTTTCCACATATTTATTCAGTTTTAAATCTATTAAGGATTCATAACATTACTTCACGCATGCTAGATAACATAAATTAACAACAATTTCCACTTTATTGTCTCTAAGTAAACAGTAAAGTAGTTAGTTAGTTTGTTTATTTCTTTATAACAAACATCAGAAGAGTTCTCAAACAGTCACTAGAAGCAAATTTCTGATTTCGGAATTTGTTACATCAAAATTTTAGCAAAAAATTCTTAAACTTTCAAAATTTTCAGTTTAACGCTTTTATTGTGTTTTTCCCCCCATTAACCACAACTGTTTGCTCTAGCTACATAGAGTGCATGTTTAAATAAAAAGCGACAAAAATTTCAAACACAATTCCATTACATTCAGCTTAATACTTTGGATTTTTTTTCTTTCTCTGTTTGTGTTAGTTTTCTTAACATACCAAATACTACATAATATTGCGTGTAAATTTTTTTAAAACTGCAATAATAAACATGTTTGTTGACGTAATTTTGTTTTCTTCTTTCTATGTTCGTGTTGCTACCGCTACCACAGAAACACTTCACTACTTTTAGTTTTAGTTTTTTTTAGCAAACTTTATGTAGATGAATTTTGTGTGGCTTCGTTTTTTGTCTTATAATTATTTATAATGTTTACAATGTTTTTGTTTAGTTTTTTTTTGGGGTTTTTGTCTTGTTTTTAACAAATAAATAATAAAAATACTTAATAACATAATTGCGGCGTTAAAGTCAAGACATTAAGCATACAATTAATCGACATTAAGTTGCTTTTGTTTTAATTTTAATTTAAAATATAATTTTGCTTAAAATAAATAGTCTCGTTACTGGCAAGTTGCTTAATCA